AATATATCACTTTAAACAAATTTGATGTTAAAAGCAAAATGATACTTTCTTTTTAAACTTCTTTCATTTTCGTTTCCGTTTTCCTTTCCTTAGCCCATTTTTCTCTCGCTTTCTCTATCTCTTTCGAACGTCTTGCTCTTTCTATTCTCTCTTCTTCTGATAACGTCTTCAATACTTTACTACTAGCATTATAAAAGAGTAAACTAACAAGCTTTCCAGCGTTATCAATTCCCACCTCAATATCCTCCACCTCGGTTTTCTTGAAATTTACCATGATTGGAGTACTTTTAACGAAATTAAACCTCAAAATATTAGAATCTTCATGATAGATGTGATTAATCACAAAGTGTGGATTTCCTTGAACGAAGGATGCATGTAATAACTTTGATACTTCATATATTTCAACAGCTACTATCTTGCCTTCATGGTCATAAGATAATAGAAGGTCATCATTGATTTCGTCAGAGATATCATAAAGACCTTCAGAAATTCTTAACATATAAATTTGCAGATTATCCGTATCATTATAATATTCGAAGTTTACGTCTGGCCTTAAGCGTGGAAAAAAAAGAAATGTTATATTAAAACAACGTTTAAATACTTTTCTAAATAATAAAACGCACCATTGTGTATTTTTGAATTTCTTCCCCTTCCCGAATAAAGTTCGAAAAAATGGTCCTGAAAATTTAAAATGTTTTAGTATATACAGTTGATTTGATGATGAAATTTAAAAATTGAAAATTGCGATAGTTACTCCAAATGCAACAGCAACAACAAAAATCGATAAAGATCATTATACAAATCCCCAAGACAAATTCAATTAATTCAATTAATTCATACATAACTAACGGGGAAAAACAAGTGCAAGTAATAAACAAGAATGAGATCAAGTTTATCGCTAAAAATATGAGTGATTAATTGATCAATTTAAATATATATCCACGTGAAGCTATGAAGATCATGTGAATTACGTAATTACTGCGTTTTTATAAATTTAACTCATTAAAGGTTGATTGCATATTATAACCCTAATTTTCACACTATCCTTTTTTTT